TCTGCATTCGAACAATATGAAATGTAAAATATATAGTTCAAATGTTATATCAAATTTGAGATACGTAGTCTGGCGGCTACCGCTGCATCCCTCGCTGGACGTTTAATAATTTCCTCATTGTGGGGAGGGACATCTATCGTCGGAGGGGTAGTTTGTTGGACTTCCGCCATCTGATCATCTGTTGATTGCGTTGTGTTTTCTTCGAATTCTTTGGATATAACCTCCAAAGGATATAGCTTATGAATGGGACGATTCGTTGATCCCCTGGCTGTAGCAACTTCTGCTGAACGAACAAGTTAATCGTTCCCGTATATAAGTTTGGTAACTGTGCCAAGTTGCCAATTGAGTCTCTTTTCAATGTCACTGTGAATTATTACAACCTCGCCAACTCGTATAGTGTTGTGTTTACTTCCAGACGTCGTGTGTCTTTCACGGAGTGCCGTCAAATATTCTGTTGACCAGCGTGTCCAGAACTGTACATGGAGGCGAGACAAGTGTTTGTAACGGTCGTTAATTTCCTCGTGTTGAGTGTAGGACGGGTCGTAGATTTCTTCATCAGACACGTTTATATACGGTAGTGCTGTGACTTGTCGTCCGTGTAGTAAATGGTTCGGTGTCAGACCAACATTGTCATCCAAGTTTGACGATACATACGTTAATGGGCGGTCATTTAGTACGGTTTCAATTTCCGTTACAACTGTGGAAAGTTCGTCAAAACTAATTAGAGAGCGACCTAACGTCTTTTTAATTGCGTTTTTGGTCAGTCCGATGAGTCTCTCCCAAAATCCGCCAAACCGGGTATAAATGTCCACTGTACTCGATGTGTGGCCAAGTATTCGCGTATTTCCGGTGTATCGACGAGAGCACGAATCTCCTCGGCAGCGGACAGGTAGGTCGATGTGTTGTCTGAAAGCATCCGGCTTGGTAGAGACCGTCTCGCGGCGAATCGGCGAAAAGCATGTAGTAATGTACGGGTCGACAAATCGGGCACCAGCTCGAGGTGTATGGCGCGTGTCACCGCACAAGTGAAGAGGCAGACGTAAGCTTTGCCACGTGTCCCATCAGGAGCCTTGGTCAGTAAAAAACCAGTAAAGTCCACGCCGGTGATTGTGAAAGCAGGCAATTTATTCACACGATAGCTTGGCAGTGGAGCTTGTACAGGATTGGCGTATGCTTTCCCTTCAACTCGTCGGCATGTTACACAACCACGAAGAATACTGCGTACAATTTGTCGAATTCGCGGAATCCAGTATTGTTGGCGAATTTGAGTCACAGTGGATTGGACTCCTCCGTGCAAAATCAATGAATGCGCCTTCAAAACGATTAACTTAGTCAGTTCGTGATTAGAAGGTAGTAATGTCGGAAATTTCGTTACAAATTCAATGGGTGCGTTATGGATCCGACTTCCGCATCGAAGGACGTCTTCTTCGTCTATAAATAGACCGAGTTGTTGTACAATAGGTCCTAGTTTGGTGTGTTTTGTTTTCAATTCATGAATTGTATCTCTGAATTCCTGTTGTTGAACGTTTAAAATCCACACGTGTTCGGCTCGTTTTAACTCATCGGCGGTTATTAATCCAGTGTTAATTGTGTCAGCCTTCTTTACGCAGGAAATGAATCGCATTACGTATGCGGTTACAAGTAGTAATTTGTCGATTGAGTTGTACCTGGAAATGTCAATAACTGTGTGTAAACCGATTTCTTGAGATTCGATTTCCTTATTATAGTCATTATCCATAACTATTTCTCGTTGGCGGGAAATGTTAGTTTCGGTTTCAGTGAACGCAGAATCACTCAGTAAGTCACGGTTTTCTCTCTCGAGCACTGCATGTAATATTGTGATATCGAACATTTCACAAGTGGGCCACTCATTAGGAGTGTTCAACCATAATGGTCCATTCCACCATATATTGGAGTTGATCAATTCAGCACATGTAATTCCCCGTGTTAGTAAGTCAGCAGGGTTATCCAATGTCGGCACATATTTGTAGATTTCGTTGATCTCCTTAACACGATTTCGTACGAATATAGGTAACTTCTTATCACTGTTTAACCAATGAAGTACAATTTGGCTGTCAGACCACAAGTAACAATTGTTAATGTTGAATTTGCCTGACAGTGCTGTGATGACAAACTTAGTAAGTCTGGATGCAATTAAAGCGGCCATTAATTCCAATCTTGGAAGTGCGATTTCAGTCATGGGGGCGACGCGGGTCTTCGCCGTCACAAAGGCAGTTTCACGCTGGTTTGTTATGTAAACAATCGCTCCATATCCCACAGAGCTCGCGTCGGCAAAGGCGTGAACATCAACTTTAGATTGTGGATCATTTTCTGTGAAATATTGACGTTTCACAGTAATGTTCCGTGTTTCTCTCATATTCTCTGCTATTTTGATCCATTGTGTGGTAAGTTCGGTGGTAAGTGGCTCATCCCAGGAGAAACCTAATTTCCATAAAAGCTGTATAAAAAGCCTAGCTTTGATGAGCACAGGTGATAAATATCCTATTGGATCATATAGTGACGATGCGTAGCTCACCACATCTCGTTTTGTGGCGAGTTCTGTTAATATTGGTTTAACCGCCTTATTGTATGTCAGCACATCTCCGTCGATTTTCCACCGTATTCCTAGAATAGATACATTCTTAGATGGCTCATGTATGTTATCCTTTTCGGCGAGATCCATAACTTGTTGACTGTTTGAGGACCATGCACGTAATTTAAAACCGCCGGAATCCATTAACTTATTGGCTTCGCTTTCTTCTGTGTCAGTGCCATCAATAACATCATCAACATAAATATTATTACTCATGTTCAGCGCGGTAGGTATATTGTTATTGTTCTCGAGATGTGTCTTAATTACCGAATTAAGAATAAAAGGCGAGCAAACGGCTCCAAATAGTACAGTCTTGAAGCGATATACTTTGAAATCGGAATTCGGGTCATTAACGTCGGTTAACCATAAAAACTTAGTAAATTTCCTGTCGTCTATATCGAGCCTCACGTTTAAGAAGGCCTTTTCAATGTCACTTGTTAAAGCAATCCGGTTGCCACGAAACCTCAATAAAATGGCCGGCAAGTCGTTAATGAGCGATGGTCCAGCTTGAAGACATTCATTCAAACTGGGGTAGTCTGCACCTTGTTTACATGAACAGTCGTAAACAACTCGTATCGGTGTTGTCACGGAATCTTTCTTCACACCATGGTGAGGTATATAATGTCCGATTAGCGGGTCATCTTCATCGACCTCTTCGATGAAATCACGACGTTTTTTGCTTTGTTAAAATGTCATCGTATTTCTTAATAACATCCGGCGCGAGTCGGCGGATCATAGCACGTGTCCGCTTAACAGTAATATTCAAGTTAGTGGGTAAAGGTTCGTGGTCTTCCTTCCACGGTAACTTTGTGGTATATTTTCCATTTTCGACTTTTAATGTGTTTACTG